GCACAGACACCATTGAGTCTGTGGGTGGATTTGTCCTGGACCTTAGCCATTTGGTACTAGGTTTTAAAGGGACTTTGAGTTTTGACCTCAAAGACTGCTTGGAAAGAAGGTGAGTACCTGTAAATTTGAATTTTAAAGCATGGAAAATGTGTGTAGGCCTGTGTGTGAGTGATAGAACCCATTTCCCAATCACAGCTGGATCTTGCTTCCACTGTGCATTTCCTAACCGCAGAAAGACCAACAGTCTGGAGGGCATGGGGGATTTGCCAGAGCACAGGACCTTGATCTCATGTCTTTCAGCCCTGCACAGATGAGCAGAGTACATGGATCCAGTTGCCTCCAGAGGAGATTTTTCATTCATATGAGCCAGAGAATTGGGTTTGGATCCAGTCCTCCACTGAAATTATCACAGCAACCAGAGTGGAGCAGACCTTCCCAAGCCTGACTGACTAGCCTTACCATCAAGCATGCCACCCAGAAGATGTGAAAGAAAGGACCCTGAGATGCACAAGTAAAGACTAAAAGACTCTTTTCAATCCCCAGAAGACAGCTAGAAAGACTATGGGGGGGGAGCGTACAAATTCATTGTAAGGTTTTCTTTCTTGTCTCATTTATATTGTAATCAGTTTAATGTACTCATGTAAGAAGAGAAAGGGAGAGGGGGAGGGAGGGAGGGAGGGAGAGAGAGAGAGACCATTCAAAATCAGGTTAAATTTTATTTCCTTCACCTACCTCCTCACAATGCTTCTCCTAGGTTGATGTTTGCTCTGTGGCATTAAAGCCTATGCAATCATTCCCTGCTAGTTCCATGGGGGAGGGGGAAATTCCCCTCAGGGAATTGCCTCACTTGAAGGGATAGCAGAAAAAAGATCTCCAAAACCCAAGCCCTGACTGTGACTCATAAACAATGCAGTCCAATTGCCCAGTAAAGCAGAATATGTTGCACTCCTGAATAGGAGTCCCATGGATCATTGTGTGTAATTCAAAAAATACTAAATAGCCTGGATTGCACACTGGCTAATCTCAATTTGGCCTCACAAAATAAGAGCTAGAGCAGGTTTAAGAACCATCCCTTGGAAATGGGTAGCCTGTATTATTTAAAAGGAAAAATCATGGCTGTGAAGAATTTTGGGATTTCTGCTCACTTGTAAACTGTCTGGAAGCTCACAGAAAGTGATATATAACATCTGAAATTAATTGACATGGAAAATTGGATACTGTAATTTTTTTCCCCAGAACTTTTGCCCTGACTGCTAGACCATAATTGAAAGCTCTCCTTTTGGGAGCCACTGAAGGCATCCTTATTCTGCTGCCTCTATCAATGCCTTCCCTTTTGCATCAGGAAAAATTAAAAGCACCCATCAAGTCTCCCTGAGCTGTTCAATTTTTAATCTTTTGCCAAGAACATGTGTATCCACTCACATGTTTTGAAAAAAGGGAGGGCTTGTAGGAAGTTAGTATCCTCCCTCCCTTTCCTAGAAAAATGAAATATTTTAGGAAACGTTTAAAAAAGCAGAATATTATATTTCCTTGAATGGGAAAAGAAGACAAACTAGATCCCTGCAGCTTCCTGTTGTTCCCCCCCCCCCTTTGTCAATGAGCCATTAAGGCATGAGCCAGTCTATTCTACATAACAAATGTAGGATTAACCCTCTACCCATCTCACCACATGGCACCTGGGAAGATTACATCAACCAGCAAGGAAAACAAGTTTGGGTTTCAGGACAGTCTACAACGTTAGCTAAGACTCCCACCTCCACCCCCTGGGAGTCTGACAACCAATCAGAATGCAGTTCTTACACAAGAACAGGAAACAGAGAGGTGGGACCCCAGAGAGGGCATAAAGCCCAGGGACTCTCAGCATCTCTGCCCTTTTCTTCTCAGGAACTCAAGCCATGTGATTCTGCTCAGGAGCTCATGTCATGCAATCCTGTTCAGGAACTCAAGCAATGTGATCCTGTCCACCATTAAACCATCTTTCCAAGCAGCCTCCATGTTTCTAGTGTCTTTTTCCCCATTTGGAACTGAACCCAGAAGGACATTTCTTCCAACAGAAGGAAGTAAGGAAGGGGGAAGAAAAGAAGGAGGGAGGAAAGGGAGAGGGAGGGAGAAGGAAGAAAAGAAAGACAAACTGGATCTCCCCTTCTTACCATATTCGTCCACATCAAAGTCGTATTCTGCAACTTTCGTGGAGTCTTCCTCTACCACCACTTTGAAGGTGCCCAAGAGAGGATCGGAAGACAGAGAATAGGAAAGCTGGATTATGCCCAACGGTAACTCCACATCTCTCCACTGGAACACCCGGTTTTTTCGGGGATCCTGGAAAGAACATAACAAGTTCCAAAGTTTGTCCATATCCCAGAATTGTTTTAGAATCAGTGGTTCATTATCAGAAAAATGTAGTCCTACAATCCCATTCTCCCTGCACTATGAGCAGTGTATTTGGATATGAAAGAAGGCCACATATGTGTTGGGATTAAACTCTCAATATTGGAACCCAGCAAGGACAATTGCTCTGCTGGCTGGAAATTCAGGGAGTTTTCCCTAATTTTCTGAAGGTCCCAAGTTGGAGATGGTGGGTGTAGGACTTAGAGCCGTGGTGGTGCAGTGGTTTGAGTGCAGTACTGCAGGCTACTTCTGCTGACTGCCAGCTG